GCAAAGCACTGCCCACACAAATAAGCAGCTCAAGTTGGCTAGAGGTACCGCTGAATCAATGAACCACTACTTTGGCACGGGTTACTGTATTCTTGACAGTGAGCTTTTGATGACGAAAACAGTGAGCTAATGAAGTACTAAGCGGAAAGAAGTGGAAGGGCCTGACGGTGATTGGAAGATGCAAGCGAGGAGATTCTTCAAGAACGAAGACAAAGAACGGAGATCAGCTTCGTGTTAGATTTCCAGCACTAGGAGCATTCCATTTCGATTGTTGTTTCGACATTCTATGTGAAAAAGTTATAGGATGGGACCGCCATAACACTGTGCTACAGAAGAGCCGGGACTTTTTGGGGAAGTGTTGGCGATGGCAGCAGCATTTGAAGAACAAGGCCGAAAGTCAGTGCACACCCATCTTACAGTTTGGATCAAGCAATTTCTTAAGCTGCAAGAAGGTGTTTTGTGCGCAGCGAGATCGCAACGGAAAGAGATGTCCGACAAGTGCCTTTCAAGATACCACGAACGGATGGCTACTACAGAGATGTTCCCCACAGATACCAGAACTCTCCTGGATCTTTCTGATCATGCTTGTAAAGTGTCCAAGAGTTTTCGGGATCCCCCTGTGGTTGTGTCGATCAGCTACTCCGGTACCTAAGACATAAGAAGGGGTACAACGCTGTATCGGGAAAGTTTGCATACTGTGATCACTGCGGATTCGAATTACTTATGAGGATCTGTTGACTGGGTATTTACGACAGTGTGAAGGAATGAATGGATCAGGAACCACCGGTGATGAGGGAACATAGTGCCAAAACCCAGAATGCAGGCTCGTGTTGTGGATTTCAGAAGAGTATCGGGGCAACAGTATCTGAAACACCTACAGTGATTATTAATGCTCTCTATCAACATCATACTTCTTGTCATGTCAAAGGATGCTTCAAGTGCAACAAGCTGGGTCGAGCGCATACATGTGGACCAGCCCCAAAGTGCGAATGTCGATACAGGCTTCCTGACAGGCCTCGGTCGGAATCAAGGGTGGTTGCAGTGAATACAGAAACCAAGTGGTTTGATTGGACCGGAGGTTTCCGGAAACAGCCCATAGTGGAATTCCAACCGAAAGGAATGCGTATGATCTGTTCCAGAATAAGTCGTGCAAGGCTATTTCAGAGTCCAAGTTTGCATGTCAACAGCAACGTATCCTCTATTACGGTTGGACCCTTGCCATGTATCAGATGAAGTACCAACACAAGTTACGCAGCAAGACGACACGGCCGAGTAGCTACTGTTGAGCGTGCTATTAAGTCCCTAAACGGAGAGTGTATGAAGACGATAACAAGGAGGCTCTTCGTCCGATCTGCCGTGCAGCTTTTGCCCATAAACAGTCAAATATCATTGGTCCATCATTGGCCTCATTCCTTACGCGGAACAAATCAAGGTTCTACTTTTCGCATCGCTTTCTCTACGTCCGATCAAAGATGTAATGTTGCTGTTGAACAAACAAGAATGGTCATCAGAACTACGATATTCACCAACAGGTCAGGCTTATCTTGAGAACCAGGCCTCCACTATCTGTGTCGAAACAAAGATCTAGAGAATGTGTCAGTGAAGCGGTTTTTCGAGCTTTACGAGGAACGACCAATGAAGAGTGTCCACAGGCGGAAGCGTCAGCAACTGATGAGGAGAAATGGCCTTTTATGCTGACACTGGGCATTTCGTGCATCCATCAGCATCAAAGGAAACGACGGGGTGTTAACTGGTGAAACTTCAGCGGAGTAATTTTGAGGAAAGAAGAAGCATTTGTTCGGGTTCCACATGGGCCTTCTCAGATGCAGGCGGTTTTGGTGCGAATATCCTGACGTTTCCTACTGGCGAACTGAACCAGGCAACGGATACTTATGCGGAAGTGCTGTTGGCTTTGTACTTGCCGCATCGATGTTTGGCTGATTAAAGAAGTCCGTACCCCAGACCAACTTTGCTTCCGCTGAAAGACTTCGTGAAGTGTATGAATACGTGTTCTGAGAAAAGCGAATAACGAAGAACCGTCGTCTTCTCAGAAAGGAAACTGTCATTCATCCAGAACATTCAAGACACCGCTTTCAACAACCCGAGGTATAAGGTGAAAGAGGATGATCTTCAACGAGTCACTAAGCCCTATAGACCGGAAAATTGGGAGGAGAACATGTACGAAAACGAATCTGATGATGAGCACGAACATGAGGAAGATGATCTGATTCAAAAGGTTTACGAAGATGGATACGTGATCTTGAGAGCCAGGGCACAACAGATTAAACCGGGACTTCTGGCAAGCACATTTGAGTCTTAGTTTTACAGCTATACGTCACAATGGAAGCGACAACGCAGATACAACGTGCAGTTACCATTCCTGAGAATTCGTTAGATTAAGACGAATTTGTTACCATAAGTGCTGACTTTCACAGACTGGCACTACAAAGAAGAAGCAAGTGAACCGCCTACACCTCGATATCACAAGAACATTGAAGTCTACTTAACAAACGGGAGTCATCCAAAGGGCAAATGTATTAAGTACAATCGCAGGTTGAAGTGTCGCAGGCGAATGGAAGCGTGAGAAGTATAAGTGACTGGCAAGGCTGCCAATCTGGACGACAAGCAGAGAAGGGCTTTCGAGTGTATCATTGCAGCCTTCTTGTTGACATTTTATGAGAAGCTGAAAAGGTGGACTAGAGGATGGAGTCCCGGATATGGGTTGAAGGCAAAAGTCCGACTTTCTCGTAAAAACCTTTTGATTTTGAAGGGAAGTCGTGGCACCCAACTGATTCTTCTTCTACATGGGCCTGGAGGAAGTGGGAAGTCTACCGTAATTGACTTAGTCATGGCCTATGGCAAAGAATTCTGCAGTTTGATTGATCATCATTTAACGACCGAACCATTGTTGTCACTGCTATGTCGGGGGTTGCTGCTACAATACTACATGGGGAAACAACGCATTCAGCTGTGGGATTGAACAGAACTCGGGAAAGTGTGGCGAAGAACTTGGTAGAAGAATGGAGTGACGCACGGATGCTTATCATCGACGAAATTTCCATTCGCGGGGGAACTTGACTTAGTGAAGATATTCCACTACACCAAGACCTTGATGCAAGACGAATACCAACATTTGGGGGACTTAACTTGGTGTTCGCGGGGACTACTCTCAACTTGAACCAGGGGACGCCCCCCAATTTACAATTCAGCACACCATTCCTGAATTTCATGACTCTCTGAATTCATTTATTGAGTTAGATGGAATCACCGTTTCAAAGACGATCCTGAATGGGGCAACGCTGTTTAAGATTCCGTGAAGGGCGACCAACAGAAGAAGATATTGAGACCATCAATGACGCCTGCATGGTTGGCCCAACCCATGTTCCACCAGAGAACATTCAAGTTGCTACTTATCTGAATCGAGATCGAGATGCCATTAACTCAGCTATCTTCGAAGAATTTTGCGGGAAGAACAAACCTGCTGATGATTCCGTGCTGATGGATTCAGTACTCATTTTCATGACGATCTTCAAATGGCCAATCAAGCAGGGACACTGGTTCCTGTAAGAGCAATTCGGTTTTAAAGCACTTCTTTCAACATGTGGAGAAGACTCGTTAAACCCGGTTCGGACTCACGAAAACGTTGATCCTGCTTTGAAGTTATATAAGGGGTGTCCTGTAATGTTTACAGAGAACACGAATGTTTCGAATGAGAAGCCAATGATCTCGGCTTTTTGTGAGAAAGGTGAATGTGAAGCATGGTTGCACCCCCATGGTTATTCAACTCGACAACGGCTGCAAGATTCGGCTTTTTTCTCAGGTCAAGTCAAATCTATCCTTGTGGAACATGAATGGAGACTATTATGCCACGTCTTTTTATGTAACGAGCAAGACTACACTTTCAGTACAGATGGTTTTATGACGGAGAGTTGTACACACCAAGATGAAGGGTAAGCAGTTCCGATTATCAGCAATTCTGCGACAACTGACACAAATTACAGGGATATACTGCAGTGTGGTATTGGTACATTCATGGCGATACTGTCAAAACTGGGCTTACGTGGTGTTACAAGGGTGCGAACCATGAGTGGTTTGTTCTTATTGAAGAAGCTGGATTTGGGATCCAAAGAACTTTGCCATGCCACAACGAATGAGAGACATGCTTGCAAGATTTAAGGATACTATGGGCTTTCTGTCCTAGGAGAAGATCAATACGATGAAATGTTCCAGCGAGAAGACGGGTTCTTGTTATAAGTATAAACGGTAGGGATATAGGGTAAATAATCTGTATATAAAAACTTTTATTACTACAACTACCTTTCTGAGATTCGCATTGCACCTCGTACGTCATTCAATGTCAGTCATTGAAAAAAGATCAAGCGTCCAATCAAATCACAGGCGACCCCGAAAAATTAGAGCCAACTTTTAAAATGTGAAGAACGCAAGGCGACTTTCATGTGCATGTACATGCGTTGACTGTATCCCGTCAATACAATACTAGTCGAATACGTAGACTTCTACAGGGCCTTCTAAGTAATGCGCGCCGGGTATAATTCAAACCTCTGCCCCCATCGGTACCATTACCCCTAAAGCAAATCGTCTCCAGGAGACGAAATTGCCAGCACGGTTACACTTGTGCCTCCTGTTTGAGACAAGCAGCAGCTCTACCCTTGCAATATAGCTGTCAACTAGTCCACTACTATCAGTAGCAACAACCCCCGCTGAAGAAGGCACTCAAAGTGGTGCTGTCTGTGCTGTTCTAGCTGGATTTGTAACTGCTGTACTCCATCATTACATTGCCCAAAATTGCCTGCCCAGTTGCTCTATACAGACACAACTAAGCTCTCTCCCAGCTCTAGTGAGCCACCAATCTCTTCTCTACTACTATAAGAACCAGTTGAGGCTCAAGATCGTGAAGCACAAGAGCCTGGTAATTTGTCCCAGCTCATTTCGTGTATTTACTGCTGCAATTAATTTCTCCATAATTTCAATACTAAATCATGGCTGGATCTGCTGGCCAGGAGGAGCCCTCTAGACGCTCAGGGAGAGAACGAAATAAGTCTCGAGTGCTCCATGAAAATGAAGAGACTGAGAATCAACTCAAAAAGAAGAGCGCACAGAGGAAGGAGAAAGAGAAACAGGTCAACAAGAAATCCAGGCCAAAATCCAACACCACAAATACCAACAACAATGCCACCAAGAGATCGGCTACTACTAGTGGTTCTCAAGCGGCTAAGAAACGTCGAGCTTCTTCTGTTCCTGCAAAATCTACAACCCGCCCCAGCAAATCTGGCCGAAAATCCGCCCCACAAAGTCAGCCAATACGGGATGTTTTAGACGTCTCATCTGAAGATTCTGAAGAAGCTTCCTCCATAGGAACTCAGGCCCCGATCGCCCATGTCAAACGCAAATCCACTGTGTCTCCTGGCAGCTCTTCTTCTAGTGACGACTCAGACCAGACATCGGCACAGCCCTGTGCCCACAAACCTATTGCGTCCAAGCGGAAAAAGGACAGCAAGAACAAGGAGGAAGAGAAGGACGATACAATCATTCAAAATTGTTCTGTCTTTTCTTCTGATTTGCTTGCTGTTGAAAATTCACAACTATACATTCAGTACTCTCTGTTCAAGGGAACTGGAAAGCCTGCATTCAAAGCTAACAACATCGTATTGGTCAACCAACAACAATCTGGTAACAGTTCACGGTCAACTGAATTCTCTTTCGATTTCAAATATGGTGACTTGGTATCCATGACACCGAACCAGTTCCAAACAACAGTTCTAGAGACCATTCGACAGGACATCGCCAACAATTCTGCATATGAGCTTGCCGACACCAGCCAAGGTGGCATGGTCTGGTACCGAAGCAAAGGCCAATCCTCTGACTATTTAGATTTAAACCGTGGCTATCCTCATCCCCTCCAAGATAAGGTTCCCATCCCAATCAACAACAGTCACAATTGGAAGGAAGCAGTCAAACAAGCTGCTTTTGTCAAAGCTTCCGAAGAGGATTCGGACGAGCCCGAGCCCGAATCCATGCACCTAAACCTTTTGTGTACAGTCAAAAAACAGCCAATCTCCAAAAAGCAGCCTTCGTCAAAACAAAACTACCGCCAAAGCTCTGCCAGCAATCATTCTGACGATGAGAATGAGGATGATGTGACAGGGCAAGAGCTGGAGGAGGAAATCGAGGAAATCGATCTGAAGAATCATCTGCCTTTTGGATACGATGTATCCTTGAAGGTACACATCTTACCACCCACAAAAAAGAATATTGAAGGAAATGGCTATGCCATTGACTGCAGCAGAGTGCCACAACAATACAAGCAGAACCAAGTACTCGAAATTGCACCTCCTTACACTGAGTCCGTTTTGAAGGAGCTTGTTCAAAAGGGAGATCATTTGGATTTTGACAATATTTCCGACGATGCAGACGCCGAGGACAAACCAACAAACTGCCTGCCTGGGGTTCGCTTGCGAGTTGGAGTGCTTACTCACGCAGTGAAGACACGGTGCCAAAGTCTGGCAGAGTACATGGCCAAAGATGAATCCTCCCTGGTTGGAGCATCATCGAAGCTCTTCATACAAGGCCGGAAGAACTCAAAAGAAATGTTGGACTGTACCACCTCAGAGTTCTTATGGGAGATGATTCAGAAACGGTACACTATTTGCAACAAGGAGGCTAAAAAGCAAGCCATTCCAATCTATGTGTCTATTGGAGCCAAAACTCAAAAAGATCCGCCGTTTGATCTGGAAGAAAGTGATGAGGAAGAAGATGTTCTGGCTGCTCTACTCAACAAACAGTCAGCAACGGGATTGCACTACGCTAAAAGCTAGTGTAAAGATCTTTCGAGTGTTTTGAGTTTGAGAGAATGAAAGTTATGAGAGAGATTAGAAAGCTACGAAAACTAATCCATGAGAGAGATCGTTGTGAAGCTCATTGAAGTTGGTCTCCCGCGGGAGGCCTCGAAGTGTGATATCGTAGGTTATGGCAATAACTCTACGTACTCCATGGTCCATTTCCGGAACACGTGGAAACTTCAGCTAGTAGCTGTCTAGTAGCGTGGAAGCTTTCCATGCCGGCTAAATATCTAGAGCGATGTTTCATCGACAACCTAGTATGACTAGCAGTCATGAGAACCCTGCCTCAATGACTATTCGCGAAGGACTACGTCATGAGTCGAACTCAAACCCTATCTAGGATCGAGTCGCGAATAAGGCTAAGAGCCGTGTATTGCATTCGCCCCCTGACAAGGGTCACAGGAGGCGCGACATCAGTCGGACAAGGAGAACATATGAATTAAAGTGCGGGGCACTCTCCGGAGATTGGATGTAGACATGTGCGTCGCACGATGGCCATCCTACAAGGGGATCAGGCCTTGTATGGGTGTAAATACCTTATGTTCCAAGTCTGGTAGACTGTGCCGCCATTGGCGGTAGCATGTCGGAGCCGTACGGTGCCATTGTTATTGACTCGGTCTTTATTGTAAGGACCTTGTACTTAGCTGACCGTACTTGCGGTGCTGATACTGTTGAAACCTCACAGTATCGTTGACATTGTATTGATGAGGGACACGCGTCGCGTTTCCCTTCTCATTGTTTTTCTGGATGAGTCGTTGGCGACGTTCTTTGATGTGTTTCCAGTTTACTTCGAAACGGACGTTGTGAATCGCGTCACGATTGAACACGTGTGGTAATGAACTTGCGACGAAGTCCATATGCATCCCGGAGAGTCTTCTCGACTTCTGCGCGGAACTCACGTTCTCTATCCATGATAACCTCAGCAGGCCATGGATACTGGGTGAGCCACGTCTGTTCTAGAACGATGGCTACTTCGTCTGCTGCATTGGAGCAGATCTCGGCAATCTCGAACCATTCGGTTACGGGATCAATCATTGTCAAGCAATGAAATGGACAGGGATTCCTTTTCTTGGGATCCTCGACGTTATATGTACATGTGATCTTCTGATCCATATGTCTCGATAGTAGTTCACTAGTCCAATGAATCTACCAGGTTTCTTCCTGTTCGTAGGAGGAGCGATATTCTGGATCGCGTCTATTTTCTTGGTTACGGGTGGATTCCTTCTCAAGTAATCCAGTAGCCTAGATATTCAAGTTCTCTTCTTTCGAAGAAGGACTTGGTAGTATTGATCTTAAGTCCGGCTTCTCGAAGCCTTTAGGAGAACTTCATCTAACTATTCAACGTGATCCACTAGATCGCCGTTAGTTAGGATGAGTTGATCATCAATGTATGCACGGACATTTTCCAAGTCGTGCATGAGTGTTCCCATCTTCCTTTGGAAGATGTCGGGACTATTGCATAGGCCCATTGGTACTCGCTGGTACTCGTATTTCCTGAATCTGTCTAGATTCAGTAGCATGTCTTGTATCCTTGGGATCGGACGAGGTTTTTGCTCAATCCTTTTGTTCAGTTCCCGGACGTCAGAGATGAACCGTATAGATCCATTCTTTTTGGGAATGATAAATGTTGGTGCCGTCCACTCGGAACGGTTTACTGTCTTAAGTGCTCCTGCGTCGCAGAGACGTTCGACCTCTGTCGTAAGAGTGTTGGTATGGACACGTGGAGTAGGGTAAGTCCTAGTGTGATAGGGTTTAGCGTCAGGACGAAGTTCTACTTCGTAGTCGTCCATTTGTCGCTTTCCTAAAGTACCTTCGAATTGGTCGGAGCACTTGGTCCATAAGGCATGAAGCGGTTCCTGCTCTTCCTTAGGATTGCTATCTTTCATAGGGAAAGATGTGCTAGTCCACGCGCTGACGGGGTAGTGAAATCGAACTTGATTCTTAGATCGGAGAGAAAGTCTCGACCTATGATCATGTCATACGCCCCCAAGTTCTTGGTGGCGTGCAAGTTCCATTCGATAACTCTATCATCGTGGAACTCAGGAGTTATAAGTGCACCCTTACACTTCGTGTTGGGGTTTAATTCCTTTACAGGGGTAGTCCATAGTGTTTGGACGCCCCCATGATCCTTCATGCTTAATCTCTTAACATGAATTTGGGTAATCACGGTTCCGGACGCTCCTGTATCCAGTAAGCAACGGAGTGTAACGGGTTTTTGTTTCCCTTTGTCTCGTCTGTTAAATCTAACATAGACGATAGTTTTGAGGTCTCTTGTCTTGCGACGTTGACGAGGTGGTTGGCCACGGACGAGGTTGACAATGCTGGATAGATCGTCAGAATCTAGTTGAGCAGCTTCTAGGCAATTATCTAATTTGCCGTAGGCTTCGTCAGTTGCAAACAATTCTTGTTTACTAGTTAGTGAGATATCTTCATCACTTAGGTATGAGAAATCGGAACATGGTTCCGTTGAATCATCATCCTGGCCTAATCCTCAGACGGAGATCTCTCCATCTGAATGATTGAAGTCGAAGTCGGCAAGAGCCTTGTCGACTGCAGCCATTTTCTTGTCCATCATGTTGAGGGACCCGACAGAGGAGTCATCCTCGTTGTCAGAGTCGTCCGACTTGCGTTTGGCAACATGGTTGCATTCGCTTTTCTTCTTGCGATCCGCCTTGACCGCAGCGTTGGAGACTTTCTTCATAAGGACCGAAAGTTCCTTTTTGGTGTAGGACTTGGCGTCATCAGACTTGCGTTTCCAAGTCTTGTTCTTGTTGTACGCTGGCTTGCTATCGTTGTCAGACGAGGACTTGGCTTTGAGTTTCTTCAGAGTCATGCAATCAGCAGTATTGTGAGTGCTGGACTCGTGGTAATCACACCACTTCTCTTCGCTCTTGGAAGAATGGTCGTTGTTGCGAGTAGACTTGTACTTCTTGCTGTTGTTCTTCTTCGAAGGAACTTGCTTGGCATCACTGCCTTTGTCAAAGTCTTCGGCGGATTCCATGCGCTCACAGAATCCAATGAGCGCTGCCATCTCGGCAGTGAAAGGATCGAAGTCGTGTTCGTCCATCTTGCGCATCCAGGAGCGAGGAATGCCATGACAGATGATGTCGATGAACTCGTCCTGGTTCAACTGTTGATTGACACCGAAAGGTGGCAAACGTGGAAGCTCATCGGTGTTCATCCGAGTGAGGTTGTTGATGTAGGCGCGAGTTGTCATCTCGCTAGGCTTACGCATCTTGCGACGCATGAAGCGTTTCTGTTTTTCGAGAGCCTTGTAAGGACAGGCTGCTTCGATAACCGCGTTGATTCCAACGGTGATGTCCTCATCGCTTAGAGCGGGCTCCGCTGCACCGTCCCATGCGGCTTGAACACGAGCTTGGAATTGGACTTCGGTTTCTCCAGAACCCACGTCGCGTGGAGCAACTGCGTTTACAGCAATTTGTCGTAGGTTGTGGTGACGCACGGCACGATGGCCTGCACACCCAGCTTCGTAGGCACTCTTCGCAGAGCTGGAAGTCATCTCCTTGAGAAGGCGATGTTTGTCGTCGGCATTGGCCAGGTTGAGTCCAACGAAGACCTTCTCCATATTCGTAGCCCACTTGATGGTCTGACGCGGAGTGTTGGAACCATTGATAATGGCTACCTTGAAGGTATATTTGGCACTGTTTGCATCTGCAGGAACGGTGCGAAGCTTGTAGGAATTTTGTTAACAAAATGCACTACGCTAAAGGCTAGTGTAAAGATCTTTCGAGTGTTTTGAGTTTGAGAGAATGAAAGTTATGAGAGAGATTAGAAAGCTACGAAAACTAATCCATGAGAGAGATCGTTGTGAAGCTCATTGAAGTTGGTCTCCCGCGGGAGGCCTCGAAGTGTGATATCGTAGGTTATGGCAATAACTCTACGTACTCCACGGTACATTTCCGGAACACGTGGAAACTTCAGCTAGTAGCTGTCTAGTAGCGTGGAAGCTTTCCACGCCGGCTAAATATCTAGAGCGATGTTTCATCGACAACCTAGTATGACTAGCAGTCATGAGAACCCTGTCTCAATGACTATTCGCGAAGGACTACGTCATGAGTCGAACTCAAACCCTATCTAGGATAGAGTCGCGAATAAGGCTAAGAGCCGTGTATTGCACTAAAGTGATGCCGGAAATAGTAAGTTATTTTGCAACACCCCCCCAGGAATTTCCCCTAAATAAATTGGTCAGTTTTAGGGAATTCCCGAGGAAGTGAGACGCATTTTTGCCGCCCAACTTCTGGTTATTTACTACTCGAGCACGCGGTTAGAGTGGCCTACGGTATGGATGTGAATGGACGGGCTGGAGGAGATGAGAACTAGTGCAAGGGGCAGGAAAGGCAGGAGCCCAACAGCAAGGAAAGCCGACCAACTGAACGAGGAAAGGAAGGAGGACAACGGGGAAAGGAGCTCGTGTGGTAGCAACAGAGACCACTGCTTGATCGTTGAAAACACCAAAGCACTGACTACCGGTGGCTAGCTGAACAAGCGTAGAATGTACCTCCACTCATCCATCCACAAGAAGAGACCACACAGCATCCATGAACTCCCTCGGATCCCCCCAAACAAAACAGCCATTCCATCCAAGAAGCCACACTGCCATCAGATTTCCCTCCTCGAAAAAGCATGGATGGTCGACAGCACAGTTCTTATTCCTCTTTGTTGAAGAAGCACTCCCTCAACCACTCACAATACAAAGCGAGAATCTGACAATGGTGAAGGACTGACCAAAACATGTATCGGTACCACTCTCTTATCGGATCCCTCCCTCCGAAAAACAAGCATGCAAAAGAGTGATCGGGAGAATCGAATCGAATCGAATCGGTACCGGTATACTGTCAACTCGAGCCCTATCATCTGCCTGAACAAGCGTACGCGTGCATTCGGCTTTTTTTCAGCGTTCGTCTCCTATTTCCTCAGTTTGCTCGCTACTTAGATCCTTATGACGAATACATGCACAACCGAATATTCTCAATCCAGCCATTGAGCCAGTTACCGTAGAGTTACATCGATCCGTGACAGTGGCAACAGTACCGAACACTCAGGTTTCACTTTACTGGCTACACTCCGTTACCGGTACCTTGCATTGGATTCTTATGACGAATACATGCACAACCGAACATTGTCAATCCAGCCATCGTAGTAGCCAGCTACCGTAGAGTTCATCGATCAGTGACAGTGGCAACAGTACTGAACACACTCAAGTTCGACTTTGCTTGCTGCACTCGGTTACCTCACATTGGATCCTTATGACGAATACATGCACAACCGAATATTTTCAATCCAGCCATTGAGCCAGTTACCGTAGAGTTACATCGATCCTGCAGTGGCAAAGTACTGAACACACTCAGGTTCCACTTTACTGGCTGTACTCCGTTACCGGTACCTTGCATTGGATCCTTATGACGAATACATGCACAACCGAACATTGTCAATCCAGCCATCGTCGTAGCCAGCTACCGTAGAGTTCATCAATCAGTGACAGTAGCAACAGTACTGAACACACTCAGGTTCGACTTTGCTCGCTGCACTCAGTTACCTCGCATTGGATCCTTATGACGAATACATGCACAAAACCGAATATTGTTAATCCAGCCATTGTAGCCGGCTGCCGTATAGCTAGTGGCAACAGTACTTGATTTGCGCATACAGGAAAATGGGTACCGACAAAGGAATCACCACCAAAACAGTAGGAAATAACAAGAAGGGATGAATCCGGTAGGAGGATCCACTCTCTTGTGTGTTGTCAAGTAGCTAGCCTCGCTCCTGTTCCCTTTCAATGACTCGACGACGATAGACTCCTCTGTTCAGCTGTTGGTAGGGCTGGAGTTAACAGAGCCTCCTCCTCCGTAGCGGTAGCCTCTTCCTCTCTTGTTGTCCGGAGCGATCGATCCTTCGTTCGACTTCAACAATGGGATATCCTCGGCCGTCAGCAGTGAGAGAATAGAAAGTAGAAATAGATATGGTTTTCTCTTCTCTTCTGATACTGCAGTAGACAACCGGAGACTTACTCTTGTTTTTCAAATTACACCAACTTGGCCGTCATGGGCCGAGAACTGACTGCCTCCCGCGGTCCATAGGATTGAATGAGGGATGGCTTTCGCTCGCTTCTACACCGGAGATGACGGCTTGAGTGAGGCTTGGATAACAGAGATAATAGAGGTGCGACCGATTCGATTCGATTCGAATAATTTCAAAACTCACTGTTAGCGCCCAGCTGGAATTCTCTCTGATACCATAGAAATCCAATGAGGAGAGAAGTCAGCGCTGTACCTTCAATTAACACTCTTGATAATGGCTTACTCGATCGAATCGAATCGATCGATCGGCCGATTGGATAAAGCACTCACCACTGTTGTCGGCCAAGCTTGGATTTACCTCCTGTTTACCATACGAATTCAATGAGGGAGAGAAGTCAGTCCTGCGCCTTCAATGATGGCCTTTCGCTCGGTGCGATCAGTTTATCCTTAACCTTAGCAACTTCAACGGTTATTTTATCCACGAATCGAACAAGAACCTGTTACTTACCGTTAAAAAACGTTACATACAGGTTTAGTACTAATGGATACACATGACCGTTGATTCTGCAACTGAAGTGCGGCTACTCTAATTTACACAGTAAACGCGGGTGAATCGATTTCGGAGTGCAACTGAGGGGGTAACCAAAAGGTGCGTCGTCTCGAGGGGACGTAACACTCAGTCCACCGCAGGCTCCACGCGTACCAGTATGGAGCACGCACAGAGGAGAGTGAATCTCGTATTGGATTGGATTCATCCCTCCTTGTACTTCCTACCATAGCTAGTAGTAGCTAAGTGTTTTGGTTGGTGATTCGATTCGATTCCAGTGTCGGTGCCCCGTTTTCCTGATGTACCGTATGCACAAGTAAGTCGACAAGCAACTTTGCGGCTTGGACTTGGTCGCCCGTACCAGCACCGGGACGATTGGATCGATCATAATCAGGTAGCAAGCTAGGATACGGATTGCCAACCAAATAGTATGCCTCAATCCTTTCAGTTTGAGAGACCATATCAATCAATACCTGCGGGAGCAGAGGAGCCATAGCTCTAGGCTTCTAAAATGGGGAAGGTCGTTGGCTAGAATACTAATAGTGCAGGTGGCAAGCATAGAGATCTGTCAGGTTACCTTCGACTGACCATACCCAGGGGGATAACGTGTATATATTTTTGCTACTTTTAGATGTGTGGTGTGTGCTTTGGGGGGGGGGGCAGTCATCAGAATGCTGTCCGCGCAGTTTGTTTGAATGCAATGGCGGCCTGTAATCTCCTTTTTTTAAGAGTGTTACCGGCAGACTGTTTGATCAATTCGAGCATGGACAATCACAACCACACAGCTGGTGGTGCATTCAAATCGGAGAATGCAAGCCCTGGTCCACCGGACACAGAGGAATTCTGCATGTAACAGAAATCATCTGCCAGCATACCCGATAGACCATCACTGCCACTCATGTCCAAGTGGGCCAGTAAGGACAAGGAACTCAACTCAGATGGAACGGTTCCTGTCAACAGGGGCAAATTGGTTAGATTCAGGATATTAAGGGCCGTCATCGCACCATACTCAGAAGGAATGTGGCCAGAGAATCGGTTGCCTCCCAGTTGCAGAATAATGAAATTTGAGGATGATTGCAACTTGGTCGGAAGACTTCCAGAGAAGTCATTGTGTTCAAGGTCAATTCGTATGAGACCAGTCAGTTCTTGCAGTTCCTTTGGGAACGGCCCTGATAGCTGGTTGTTTCTAATGATAATGTCACGCAGCACGCATAATGTTCCAATCTCACTCGGCAGTGAACCAATCAGCCCAACATTGTTCAAATATAACCAATCCAAGTTTGTAGCCAATGCAATTTCGCTGGGGAGGGAACCTGTGATCATCATCATGGTATTGTACATCACCAGGCCAGTAAGCTTTGTTAATAACCCAACCTCACTTGGAAATGTGCCAGTTAAGAGGCTCCGCTGCTCATGCATTTCAAACCCATAGCCCAAATATATAAAGTTCAGGGAAGTCATCAACCAAAGCTCACTGGGAATAGGGCCTGAAAGATATGGATTCGCAAGATTCATCCGCAGCAAGCCGGTCAACAGACCCAGCTCACTGGGAATTGGGCCTGTGAAAAGGTTGTTTACCAGGGTTAAGTCCAACAGACCTGTCATTAAGCCAAGTTCCGTGGGTAGAGTACCGGTCAAATTTGGACCAACGCTGAGTATCTCCATATTTGGCATGCTGTAGAACTCAGGTGGGAAAGGTCAGCATATCTCCTTTGGGCTCCAAAGAACATCAGGTTTAACCTTTTCAATGATGTCAAAAGGGAAAGCTCTGGTGGAACAGAAGGTGACAAACCACCTAGCTCAAGATTACCCAAATTAAGAGAAGTGAGCCTTCCTTGGTTGTCACATGGGAGATTTATGAGATGCCCACATTCGTGAAATTTCCCATCCAGGAAGAACCCAAATCCACGGGAATGCCAAAGACACTCCTCTTCTGTATCATCCATCCACCTGTCCCGAATGGGCTGCCACCACTTTTCTCCCTCGAAGGAGTAGAAGAATGTGGCCATGATAAACAACAGCATCTTCCTCCATTCTGGGAGAAACGTAATGTTTTGATGATTGGCTACTCAGTTCCATGCTTTCCACTGAGGGGTGTCACTGTTACTGTTAAAGATTCTGGCCAAAGTATCGTTGGGTAGACTATCCAAAAGCACCGCCAGAACCCCTGTGGGGGCAGAGGATGGAACTCCAGAAGGTTCCATAGAAAGGTAGACTGTAGGTGTAGGTGTTTGGGCAGCAGCATTGAATAAATCCTTCCTGCTTGTTCCAGCCACCGTGCCAACAATTGCAGCAGCAGCAAGAACAATCAAAAATAGAATGAAGATGAAAGTCTGTTGCTGTTTCTTCCGCTCTTTCTCTCTCTTCTCTGCGGCTTGCAAATCAACTGGGTCGGCATGCATTAAATTGGCAGCAGCCTCTGGGTCCTCCATTACTGGGTTGGCCACAGCCAACTGATTGTTGCTGACAACTGGCCTCATTGCAGCAGATGTGATCATCTGCTCGGGATTTGGGATTGGATCCTGAGTGTTGGTGGTGGCACCTACCAGACTAAAATCAAGATTAGTGGCTCGCTGTTGGGATGCTCCCATGTAGGCTCCGGGACGAGCATCCCGTTGTTGGTTTGCTCCTCGGCGTAACGACGTCGGCTGTAAGGGTAGCGGCTCTATTCCTCCTGCAGCATCATCCTCAAACGAGTGATTCTGTATCCCACCATTTGTAGCAGTGAGATTGATCTGGGTTTCTGTGGTTGTGTAATTTATAGCATTGGATTCGGTTGCTTCCGTGATGGTGTCCACAACTTTGCTGTTTTGAGTGGAGGCTTGATTCTCTTCTCTCAGAGCCTCTTCAGGGTTCTGACCATTTGTTGTCTTCTTGGATGGTGGCTTGGCATCAGTTCCTTCCTCCATGGATGGAGAAAGTCGTCGATGTCACCGTTTGGGACTCGTCGACATCACTGTTGTTTTCACTGGAGTCCTTCTTCATGGCCGTAGCAGTTGCACTGGAGAGCACCAGGCAAATTTTGACAGTATGAAATGAAGCTTTGCTGAAGTTTTGAGCTTCCTTTGGCTGATCCTCGACAGGTTCTTCCAGAGAGAGAAGAGAGAGAGATTATGCACAGTCTCACGGACAGTGCATCAGACACCGCAAGTGCTCAGCCACTGTAACTGTAGTTAGCGATGGGACTCCTAGTACCAGACATATTCTCACTGGTGGTGTGATTGTTCTGCAAATGTGACCCTTGTATCGACATGTGCTGACCTGATTCACTTCCCTGGCGTTTGGCCAGGCAGGTTCCCACCCTCCTCTACTGGTGAATATCCTGAGACGGTTGTGCTGAACATTGTACCGGATGGATTCCCATGGGAAACTACATGGGTTTGGCAGCAAGGATCACCTGTCATGACGGAAACATCAAGTGCCCCCTTCAAGTTCCAGCAGCGCTGTATTCTTTTGTTCTTCCTCTTGCCCCCAATACAACTCACAGGCTACTAGTTTCAGACAGCTTTGGGAATGGGTTGGTAGCTTTGGATGGATTACTCTTACAGCAGGCAATCAAGAGGTGTTGTATTCTTTTCTGTATGATCAAGGCAAATTCTCCGGAATCACTGTTGATGTTACAGTTGGACCGGACGGAATGGTGAAGGAGCTCACCTCCAACATTGAATGTGATCCTGCATTTCAATTTTGCTAACCAAGCCTCTGGCATTGTTACTGTAGTAGCATTGTGGCCACTATGCATGTTTTGTGCGTTTGCGAGGACTGTCGCTATAGATAGCAGCGGTGGAGACTCTAGAGGAGCAGTGAGCTGTTCATGATTTGTTTGGCCCTCTAGGAGCAACCAATCTTTGCTGGCACGTTTACACTAGCTATGGTACCGGCACGACCGTGTCACGTTCGTGATATGTGGAGCAAGAAGGTTGGTTGGGACTTTGGTTTGAAGCGTGACTCGCACCGCTTTCGTCGTCCGCTGTTTCAAATGGTCGATGGCGAGAAAGCAAGCTTCTAGCTAGTTTGGATAGTACCAGTGTACTGTTGGTTGCAACTGAAGACAAGGATGCAGCTAAGTGCGTTGGCCTTGTGGTCTGTGAGCACCTCGGCAACGCAACTGGCTAGCTTTCGAGCACTGTTACGCACCCGCCAACGAAAGCATGTCCCTTGCCGTGGGCACGCTGAAAGGATCAAGCAGCTTAACCGACGACTACAAAAGACAGAACAGATCTCTGAACGCTACAGGCATCCCTCACTGGCCTTTTAGCTGCCAACAAGTTCAAATAAATGTTCAAATCGAGACCTGGACTGGCACTCCATTTCGATGAGCTTCCCGCACCGCGCACCGTCTGCAATGGGACTTGCTCTTCTTTCCGCAAAGAAGGCACTGAAGGGAAATACATGATTTAAAGACATTCCACGGAACATCATCCATTTAAAAACAAAGCGATTTAACGGCATTCTTGCCTCTCCAGAACCAATTTCAATGGTACTTCCACCGTCTACCGCTACATGCACATGAGAATGGCGCCACTACGGATCCTTGATGCAAGGGATAAGGAGGGCATCCTTCTGAATTTGCCAGGAAAGGGGCCTGCCTACTTCGACTTGACAACAGGTTGGCAAGGAGAAGAGGCGGTCCAAGGTCCAAGCAGAAGATAAGGATGGAAAACATGATAGGCCGGTACTCCATTGGCAAGGGTGGAAATTGCGATTTGGAGGGTGGACTGATGTCGGAACTTGCACGTTTTGAAGACTATGCGGCAGCAGGTTGTGGAGTCAAGAGCACAGCCTCATGCCAAAGAGTAGAAGAGGCCATCCTTGCACGAGCTCCGCATCGATGCCTTTGGTAGGGTGGTGAAGATGATGGTGAGCCCCCAAGAAAGAAAGAAGAAGAGGCGCCCGTCCGGGGTGAAGCTTAGTGGGGCTTGGTGCTGTGGCCAGGGCCGGAAACTATGAGCCGAGCTGCATTTGGCATGCTACGCTCCCAAATCCAGGGGTCTTTGCCTTGCTTTCCCCCTCATTCCTTCTCTTTTGGCATGGCTACCATGGCGGCTGTTACCTCTTCCGTCATTGTTGGTTGCCTCCCGAGTTGCTGTTTGCATCCAATGCCACCCTGTTTTCTTGCCGCACCTTGTCTATCGATGCGATGTTCGGTTACTTATTCGGTAACCTTTTCTCCCTTTTTATTCCTGTTAACCATGACAATCTTTTCTCCCGATTGTTGTTTGTTCGAAACCCTCTCGCTGCAGTATTCGCCAGTAGTATCCTTAAAATTCTAACCCCAATATTATCCCAATCTTCCCCTCTTTTGGTCTAGTTCCCGAACTGTACTTAGTGATAGTATCCTAGGAACTCTTAATTTGGAAGCACGTTTGCAGTGTTTTTGGATGCTTTGCATGACCGTTCAGTAGGAATTGCCCTTCCATTCGGCTTGGTACTGGATCCTGCTTTATATGGTAAACATCTTTGTTCGGAGGGAAAGAACTATTTAAAGCCGATCCTTTTTAATTACCAATGACCCAGACATGCTTCAAGTATGCACGGTGTCCACCACACGCATTGTGAACAACGAGGGTGTAGGTTGTTAAACGGGCCGTACTGGATCATTGAGCATGCCTTTAAACAGATTTGTAAGTACTGTTTCATGGGGAACCAGAAGCTTCGGTGCATAATCCGCAACCTCCCTTCACGATTTGTATCGTAGGGTCGACCTTCGACTTTAATCGATAACCACCTTGTAGATTGGTACCTACTTCAGGTGCGCTTCTCAATGCAGGAGAACCCAAATCCACAGGAATGCCAAAGACACTCCTCTTCTGTATCATCCATCCACCTGTCCCGAATGGGCTGCCACCACTTTTCTCCCTCGAAGGAGTAGAAGAATGTGGCCATGATAAACAACTGCATCTTCCTCCATTCTGGGAGAAACGTAATGTTTTGATGATTGGCTACCCAGTTCCATGCTTTCCACTGAGGGGTGTCACTGTTACTGTTAAAGATTCTGGCCAAAGTATCGTTGGGTAGACTATCCAAAAGCACCGCCAGAACCCCTGTGGGGGCAGAGGATGGAACTCAGAGAGGTTCCATAGAAAGGTAGACTGTAGGTGTAGGTGTTTGGGCAGCAGCATTGAATAAATCCTTCCTGCTTGTTCCAGCCACCGTGCCAACAATTGCAGCAGCAGCAAGAACAATCAAAAATAGAATGAAGATGAAAGTCTGCTGCTGTTTCTTCCGCTCTTTCTCTCTCTTCTCTGCGGCTTGCAAATCAACTGGGTCGGCATGCATTAAATTGGCAGCAGCCTCTGGGTCCTCCATTACTGGGTTGGCCGCAGCCA